AATAATAATACAAAATCAGAATAACAAAATAATAAATGAGCCCATTTCACAAATTTGGGCCTGAATCACACTCAAAACCTTAAACAAGCCCAAGCCCAAGCCCAAGCCCAAGCCCAAGCCCAAGCAATACAAATAAATCCAACCCAATTGAAATTAAGCCCAAACCTAATTGTTAACTAATAAACCAACCCACTTAATTATTAAACCAATTAACCCAAAATCCAATTGATAACTAATACCCAACCCACTTAACTAATAACCCAGTTAACCCAACCAAGATGCAACCCGATTTGGGACGACGGGGCTGTCGTCACAGGTGTCGTCCGTTGATAGCGACGGCAGACGAGTCAACGAAGTGGACGAAGACTCGGTGGAGAGCAAGAAGGCGTTGGGTCAATTTGGGTTCTGTCACCTGGATATGGATTGGGTTACTGTTGTATGTATTGAGCTGGGGTCGTCGATGGTCGGTCTGGGAAGTATGGGTTATTGATGCCGAGGATTTGTGGGTAATTCGTTGGGTTACTTATTGGAGTGGTGATGACAGGCGTCGGAGCTGTGAGGATGATCGAGAGTGGGGTTCCATGAATAGAGGTGGCGACCACGGAGTGGTCTGATTTCTGGGTTACTGTGACTGTCTGCAGTTATTGTTCATCGTGGGTGGTTATTTTGTGAACAGTTGAGATGAAGATAACCAGGTTTTGGCTCTGATACCAATTTGATGTAGAATGATTAATTCAATAAAGATAACAAGAAGAGATATAGGAGAAGGAAGAAGAAAGGATGATCGAGAGTGGGGTTCCATGAATAGAGGTGGCGACCACGGAGTGGTCTGATTTCTGGGTTACTGTGACTGTCTGCAGTTATTGTTCATCGTGGGTGGTTATTTTGTGAACAGTTGAGATGAAGATAACCAGGTTTTGGCTCTGATACCAATTTGATGTAGAATGATTAATTCAATAAAGATAACAAGAAGAGATATAGGAGAAGGAAGAAGAACAAGAAATAGGGCAGAAGAGGGAGAAGAGATGGCAGCAGCCAAACCAATAATTCTCAATCAATTCATCGTCCAAAATTACAAACCAAGATAGGTTTAAATAATAAAAACCTAGAAATATAGGGCCAAGCCCATTATTTAAGTCCTAACTAAAATACGTAAATTTAAATAAAAGTCCAACTGAAACAATAATAAAAGTCCAACTAAAATACTGAAACAATAATAAAAGTCCAACTATAATGATGTCCTCATCACTTCTGCCTTTGAATAGTAGTAGGAAAAGAAAAAAGATATTTGAGAGCATTAGATGATCGTATTCCTTGCTCCATTTATCTCAAAATTAACCAATATTTTCCAGTAGTATTTGATCGGGTGCAGACATTGATATGACACATATACTGTATAAGAATTTAAGGCCTTGTTTGATTCCCATACTTTTAAAATTTTCTTTTCTCTGTACTCATTTTCAACCACGTTATCGCAAAATAAAATATTCTAACCACATATTCTTCGAAAAAAAACACTTTTCAAAACTCTATTTCTTGGAAAGAATGGCCAGCGAAGTCTGGAAGCCACAATTCAGTAGCTCCACTTTATAAGAAAGAATGTGCTATCTCCCAAATGTTCTGGCATCAGATTCTATAGCCATTCGTAATTCTCAAAATAGTTACATACTTAAAGAATCACTTATGAAACTACAGAAATGATTAAGTACTTCAAGAATCAGACTTTGACTTTCGCATTCTGTCACTTGCAGAAAGTGATCGTTCGATATGAGTATTTTCTTTTTTAAACAAAAGAAATACGGATATGCTTATTTATATTTTGTTCAAATTGTCCCCTCTGAAGTTCTAGCGAATTTGGCATCAATAACTAGTGTGACAAATAACTAAAGTCATAAAGGTAAAATTTTAATGTTTACCAGCTGAAAGAGGAGGAATATAGTATCAGTATTTATAATCAAATTCTAGTTGACTTTTGTGGCCTAGCTGAAATTGTTGATTTACCATTTGACAAGAGTCATCTTCCACTTCAACAGGGTTATGAAATTATTTGTTGAACTATAACTTTTCATCGGTTTCATTCAACATTGGGATTGGGTTCAAATACACTTTGCAAGAATTTCTGTATGTTGGCGTGCTTCGTGCAATATCATTAAAAAGATCAGGGAAGAATGTAAAGATGTTGAAAGCATACTCTGTGGATTATACATTATAAATGGTTAATGCTAGATGCGCTGGCTGGAAAAAAAATAAAAAATTTCTTCTCAGAGATAATTTTAGTTTTATTTTATTGCTGATCAAGTTATTTTGCTTTTGTTTGGTTTTTTATAATTTGTGTAATTTACATTTTGTTCATGTCATGGGAGATTTTCATGAGCTTGTATTTTTTAGATCAAAATAAGCTGACATAATTTTGTCTTTTCTGTAGGCTGTAATGGCCAGCGACTTCGCCATTGCACAGTTTCGGTTTCTCGAGAGGCTTCTAGTTGTACATGGACATTGGTGCTACAAAAGAATTGCTCAGATGGTAATCATCTTAGCTGAACTTATTCTCGTTGATGTTGTTGAAATATACTTTAGCAATACAGATTTTCATCTATTTGCATGTACTAAACATGTTCATTATTGCATGGGTGTCGTTTTCCTTCGTTCTACTCTCCATCTTTATTTTATTCTCATTTTTATCTACAACTCTCTGCTTTCAGATCTGCTATTTCTTCTACAAAAATATTGCATTTGGCCTCACAATCTTCTACTTTGAGGCTTTTGCTGCCTTTTCTGGGCAGTCGGTTTATGTTGACTGGTACATGCTGCTGTTCAACGTTGTTCTTACGTCATTGCCGGTGATTTCACTTGGAGTATTCGAACAGGACGTGGATTCTGAAGTGTGTTTGCAGGTTATTCTTCTCTCGATCCTTTCTAAATTTTGTTTGCTTGAATTTTCTTCAAACTACCACAGCTCCAGCATGTGGGAATGCTGGGGATAAATGCACAAGGTCAATGAACTATTAGGCCATGTTTGATTGGCCTGGAATTCCAAGGAAAATGGAACGAAATTCCATCTTTAAAATTTTTTGTTGTTTGATTGGCAAAATTTTCCCTATAATTCATTTTCCACCTTTCTTGCCACATAAACCAATTTTTACTCTTTCCTTGAATTGGAATTATCATCATTTTAATTGACAATTTTCATGTAAAACAAAATCAAATGAACACCAAAAGATAGATGATTTTCTTGAATTTTATTGTTTTAAAATTTTTTTGGAAACAAATTTCAGTCCCAATAGCAGTAAAATTTATTCATTTAATTGACAATTTTTATTAAAACAAAGTCAAATGAACACAAAAAAACACTTTTATTTCAATGAATTCGACGTGGAAAATTATACCAATCAAACACAATAATTTACGATTTCCAGAAAAATAATTTCTAAACAATTCAATTTCCTGAAATTTATTTTCTTTCCAGTCAAATTCCATCTTTGCAATCAAACGGATTCTTAATGAAAATTCAATGTTGGCAATCAACTTAAACAATTTGGACATTGAACTTAAAAGTTTGTTACAATGTGATCGTTCATGTACTAACAGAACCTGACGTGGCAGTCTAATAGGCAAATAGATTAACAGTGAAGTCACTGTTTCCTTTAATCGAATTAGCGGAGATAGACAAAGTAACCAAATTTTAGCAAACTTTAAGTTCAGTGACATACTTGAAACAAAATGAAATATTGTTATGAGTTTGGTGACTACCAGTTTATTTAACCCGGCAATGCTTTATGCTGATGCAAACTTATGTATAATGCAGTTTCCTGCCCTATATCAGCAAGGACCAAAAAATTTGTTCTTCGACTGGAGCAGAATAATTGGGTGGATGGTAAATGGTCTATACACGTCCCTCATCATCTTTTTCCTCAACATTATCATCTTTTACGACCAAGCTTTCCGTTCTGGAGGCCAGACGGCTGATATGACTGCTGTTGGTACTGCTATGTTCACTTGCATCATTTGGGCCGTTAATTGCCAGATTGCACTTACGATGAGTCACTTCACATGGATACAACACTTGTTCGTTTGGGGCAGCGTCACTACATGGTATGTGTTTCTTGTATTCTACGGAGAATTGTCATCAGCCCTCGATGAAAATGCCTTCAAAATCCTCACAGAAGTTCTGGCTCCGGCCCCGATTTACTGGATCACCACCCTCTTAGTAACCATTGTCTGTAATCTCCCATACCTTGCACACATTTCTTTCCAAAGATCGTTCAATCCAATGGATCATCACGTCATTCAAGAAATCAAGTACTACAAGAGAGACATCGAGGATCGACATATGTGGAAACGAGAGCGATCAAAGGCAAGACAGGAGACAAAGATCGGATTCACAGCCCGAGTCGATGCGAAAATCAGGCTGTTAAAAGGGAGACTGCAGAAAAAGTATTCATTAATGAGTGCACCTTCTGTAATATCACAGCAAACATAATTATTGTGCATTTAAGATTTTTATTTCTAGGTTTCTTGGCTGTTTGCAAATTTCCCTCTTTGTTTTCCTTATTGAACCTTGTTGGTTCATTCTTAGTGTATATTTTGTCCAACATAGTGAGGTATTCCTAACACCAAAGCACTTTGGCTGTTGTATGTATGATATTTTTCAGGTGATTATCACTGCCTTGTGAATATATAAAAATATATATTTGCCTTTATTCCTCTTCCCTGTCTAAGCATTGTTATTTAATGGATCGTATTTCGTTCATTTCATCGGGATGTTCGTGAACAAGAACTTGCATAGAAAGGATAGGATCGAATCAAATGTAAAATTCCCACTTGTGTATTGTTGTTGAGCTGAGCAATTAATAATTTTCCAGAAAGTATGACTTTTTTTTAACTATAAAAACTTAAACGTTAAAGAATTTAAATACAACGAAATGTAAAATTCTTGACAATGTGATCTCGATCAAATTGTTTTGATGCTGCGTTAATATTACTTGATGGATGCCATCTATTTGAAAGTCAAAATTAGATTTCGACCCTCGTTTGTTTCCATTTTCTGTCAAATTTTTTTTTTCTACATATTCATTTTTAATCATACATCTAAATAGAGGAATATTCTACACGTAAATTCAATATTTTTTTCCACTTTTTAATCACGAATTTTGCAAAAATTCGCTATTCAAAACAACATTTATCCATAAAAAGGGCCACCAACCAGGGGCTAAGGTTGTTAGATAGACAGACTGCAAGAATCTGACAAATTAAAATTAATAGAAATTTACACGTGTGGATAGACTGCAATAATAAGACAAATTAAAATAAAAATGCTGACAAATAGGGAAATATGCCATTCGAATATGCATGTTTTATTAGTTGGAACAACAGCGGTGATCATCAGAGGAAAAAATGGTTACTTATTTTCTAACATTTATGAATAATTAACTGTATTATTACAACCTAGGTGTAAACGAAAAGTCTGCGGGTGTCGGTAAAATCGAAGCCCTGAGCCAAGAAGAGGAGATACCTATGTTTCATTTTATACAATGATAATTCACTTTGCCACCTCCCTCTGTTTCCTGCTTTAATTCTGCAATTTCAGCTCAATTGTTAGTTACTTATAAGTTGCTTTTTAAAGGGTATTTTATTATCACGGGACTGGATGGAGCCCCGGGTAGGAAATAAGTTTCAGCTAGGCCGGAAAATTGGAAGTGGTTCATTTGGAGAGATTTATATAGGTCTATTTTGAATTTTGTATTTTTATTTTTCACTTCTTGAATTTGATCATTTTTGTTTCTTTTTCTTGTTGGGCAATTTGTTTATTAATTTTGCAGGTACCAATATTCAGACGAATGAAGAGGTTGCAATTAAGCTCGTGAGTAATTAGAAAACCTCTTCGTACAATTTCTGCTTTATGGGACATTCAGAGCATGTTTGGCTAAGCTTAAAAAATTTACTTCTTTACTTGGATAGCAAGGTAACTAGAGTTACTTTCGGAAAAAGTAAGTTATCCAAAAAGTGTAAGGGATACTTATTTTTCAGGCGTCGCCAGACAATCAGACATGCTCTTATGCTCTTAGTCGATCGTTAAGGTCCTTTCGAGTGTCGTTATTATATGTTGGTATGTCAAGTCAAAATTTCATTCTTCGAAACTCATGTTCTTTGTTAGACATGACATGCTAATTCAATATCCTGTTTTCTCATGGTTTAGCATTTATGTTTCTGTATTTTTTGCTCTTGTTAGCTAACATTCGTTACTTATTTTTTAATAAGTTGTTAGATTCTTAATATCACAAATAGCTTCTGCTTTTCTGTATATGCAGGAAAATATCAAGACAAAGCATCCTCAGTTGCATTACGAGTCAAGGTCGTACAAAACACTACAAGGAGGAAGTAATGATCCCTTTCACTGTTTCAGTTGCCAGTCATTATTTTTCTTTTTGCTTCTTTATTGACTATAATCATTTCTTCCATATCGGTAGCTGGAATTCCCAACCTTAAATGGTTCGGAGTCGAGGGAGACTATAATGTCCTTGTTATGGATTTACTGGGACCTAGTCTTGAAGACCTGTTTAACTCCTGTAATCGGAAGCTATCTCTAAAGACCGTTCTCATGCTGGCAGATCAGATGGTAAAATATCTCTTTGGTTGTGTTTGATTAAGAATTTGAGACATTTTCATGCTTCAATTCTCCTGGGAGTTCTTATTCTTTTCAGATTAACCGGATCGAGTTTATTCATTCTAAGTCTTTCCTTCATCGGGATATTAAGCCCGACAACTTCCTGATGGGCTTGGGAAGGCATGCAAATCAGGTTTCCTTTTTTTAAAACTTCCCCCCCCCTTTCATTTTAACTGTTTGCTTATCTTATCTCTTGATCCTTACAGCTACCAAATTATGTAGGTCTATATTATTGATCTTGGACTTGCCAAGAAATTCAGAGACTCCTCGACTCGTCACATTCCATATAGGTAAGCTCTCTTGAATATCAGAACTTCAAAAGTGATATAAAAGAATCTTCTTATGATGCTGTCTGTGTAATGCAGAGAAAATAAAAATTTGATTGGAACAGCCAGATATGCCAGCATGAATACTCATCTCGGAATTGGTATTTACGTTATATTTTGTTTCATCTTAAACATTTGCTAAAAGTGATTTGATTAAGCACTGCATCATGTTTTTTTTGCACAGAACAAAGTCGCAGGGACGATTTGGAATCACTTGGATATGTTCTCATGTATTTCTTAAGAGGAAGGTATGTCTACGTATTTGTCCTTTTTTTTTTCTCCTATGTTTTCCTTACATTACGTGTGCTTATTTTGCCCAAATGTGTAGTCTTCCCTGGCAGGGGTTGAATGCTGGAACAAAGAAACGGAAATATGAAAAAATTAGCGAAAGGAAAGTTACAACCTCGATTGAGGTAACTGATGTTTCAGCTGTCTTCCAGGCAGTTATACATTTTGCTCGATGGGAGACTGATTCTGAAGCTCACTTTTCTTTAGGCATTATGTCGTGGCTATCCTACGGAATTCGCGTCTTACTTCCATTATTGTCGTTCGCTTAGGTTTGATGATAAACCGGATTATACTTATTTAAAGAGAATTTTCCGCGAGCTTTTCATTCGTGAAGGTTTTGACGTACTCCTAAGCATTACTAACTTATGTTTGCTGCTTTTCGGATTTGAATATCGTACTTTTACTCCTTGTCTCTCTTCCCGTGCAGGTTTTCAATGTGACTATGTATTTGACTGGACCATTTTGACATATCAGGAGTCTCGCTCTCCCCTAGCCAATCCTCCACTTCAAGAGCTTGTAAGTAACATAAAGTTCTGGCTTACACCCAAGTCATAGAGAAAGTTTGGCTAAGCTTAAAAGGTTTACTTATAAGTAAATAAATTATAAGTTGGTTTGTAATAAACAACATTTTTATATCTAAACACATTTGGAAACAAAAAATTTAACATTTACTTTAAACTCAACAAAACATGCTCATAGGCATGTTGATTTTCGGGACAGGGTGTAACTGCAGGAACAAGTTCAGGAATGCTGCATGCTAATGTTGATCCACAATCAGGTGAATCCTGGTCTGGTGCCTTGCAAGTTTTGATTCTCTATTCATGACACCAAAATAGCTGCATTTGATTTTATGGATCAACCATTTGATTTGGGGCAGGTTTTTAATTAGAGGTTTTATAAGCCTAACTGGACCGGTTTTGGTCCCGGTTTCCATTTTTTCCAGTTGAATCGGCCGGGCCAGTCCAGTTTTTAAACACTGCTTAAAACCATAGATTTTCTGGTAGACCAGCACTTAGCTCTGTATAGAGTGTACGCAGACAGCCGCGAGTATAATTCTACAGCTGTTTTTTAGGTGACAATGAAAGAAAAGCCCACCGTTGTTCTTTCGCAAAGTCAACTCATGGTAGAAAATTTTTGAATTCTGGAACAACACAGAAAGATCCACTTGCTAATGACTTAGTCATGAGTAAAGAGGTAAGTCCTCTCTTTCCTTTCCCACGGCATCTGTCTCTGTTAATCTTGTTCATAATTTCCCGTTACTTGTGATTGCTTTTTGCAGTTATCAAATTTCAATATTTTCCGGTCGAATGGATCTTCTATGCGACCAGTTATCTCTAGTAAACATGATCCAGTGACCGCTGGGGAGGATTCCGACCCTTCACGTGGAACTTCAGCAGTATGTGCTGATTACAAGTGCTCATCTTCTAAATTGAATGTAAAGGATTTCGAGTTGACCCTCGAGGGTATTCAGAGCTTGAGTTTCCAAGTGTGACATATTAGAATTTTCTCATTCCTAGTTACTGTAAATCTTTGGAATGCTATGCCTTAAATTCATACTACTCTGTTGGAGATGGCTTCCATCTTTGTTCTAATGCTCTATTAGAATGACATTAAGAATAAGAACTATTTCTGTTTAAATCAAACGTATTTATATAATAGCAGCATCAATAGTCAAATTTCTGTCTGGTACAAAATAACTTCATTGAAATAACTTGTGAAAAAAAAACTTCACTAACTCAATTGATTTTCTTTGAGCCAAGAACAAGAAAGTGGGTTGGAGAAAATGGCCTGTCTTCTAAGCTACAAAACTAGGCTCTGAAAAATCAATTAGCTTGTTTCTTCCGAGCAAACCGCTGAAGAGATCTAGGCAGTTGATTTTCCTCTTCCATGTTCTTCCTCTTCTTTTTCGATAACCCATCCCCTTTAGCTTGTTCCAAGAAAGGTTTCTTAGCTTTCTCTATTGCTTCTCTCTTCTTCCTTGCCACCTTGCTTGGCTTACTCCGACCTTTAGTTTTCTTCTTGAAAGATAAATTTTTTGCAGCTTCTACAGCACCTTCCAGTTCGGCCTCTATCTCCTGTTTAGCCGGTCTTTCTTTCTTTCTTGTAGGCTTCACTGAACCAATCTTCGTCGGGTTCAACATGATCGTCTCTGGTGGGAGTTTGTCAAGAAGAGAATGGACCTCCCTCTCTTTCCTCTGTTTAGAAGTTTCAAATGGGTTCGCCACCCAAGAGTCAAAGTTGGCTTCTCCGGATCCAGGAATCAAGATTGACGACCAACCCATCGAGTGCCCTATGCCCAAAACATCTTCATAGGGTCTGAATGCCAACTTTTGTATTTGGTACCCTTTAGCAATGGAATGGCTCATATAGCGGCTATAATTCTGAGATCCCGATAAATCTCTCAATACCTGAACAAAGGATCCAGTGGCAGTAGCAAGCAAACCTTTCTGACTAAAATTCATCGTCTTAGTTTGACCTGGTAATGTTTGAAGAACCTCAAACTTCCTCAAGTCCCAAAGCTTTATCTTCCTCTCCATACCAGCTGTTGCCATGAGATGGCCATTGGAATGAAATGCCAAAGCCGTAACAGGCCCGTGATGACAGAACATCTTGACAAGGGGAGCAGAACTTGTAGGCTTCCACATGCTCACCGTGCCACCAGAATGGCCAACAGCAACTACACTATTGAAAGGATTTACCTGCATTACATCGGACCGACCTAGAAAATTTCAGAAAAAAAAAAAAAAAAACACCCTTGAAATCTGTCAGAAACAGTCTCCAGCATGGTAAAAGAATAATGTAAGTATTACAAAATGAAAACCTTGTACTAGCATCATCGTGACAGATTACTAACCTTCAAGCAATGCAGTTCTGTACCATTGCGGTCATATATATATGTGTACCTGTTACATTTAAGTAGACATATTCAGTTAAGCACAGAGAATTTTAGTTATTTATTATTAATAATACACTGGAAAATATTACAATTTTGAGCATTTGCTTAAATGATAGTCAATGTAACATTAAGAGTTTCTCCAGGAAAAGAAGTTATTTTTGTGTTACGTGATCAACATACTTCACATTAAGCAAAACTGGAAAACAATTGCAAAGTACACAGCTACAGATTTGGGTCCATAGACAGGTAACTTGATTCGAAAATGGATCAGGTAGTTTGGATTTGCACGGCAAAAGAATGACTGAAGTCACTAATTTAATGTGGTCCACCCATCTCTCCAAATCAGGAAGTGCCAAACAACCAAATCTAATGATCTGTCCAACATGCACCAGAAAATGTATGCAAGCCATGGTACATAGATAAACCACAACGTGGATGAGCAAACATGCAGGCAGCAAGTGCAATTGGAAAAGGTTTCCACCTCATCATCTCTGATGTTACAAGAGGACTAAGAAAAGGTTGGAGCAACAAAAATCAAGACAGCAAATAGTACATTCCAGGCCATGCTGGATGCACTTGTCTTTGGGGTGAAAATGAAAATCTTTCCTAATTATGATCATTTACATTCATATTATAACTAAAAGGACAAGAAACCTTACTTCTTTTGGGCAGCAGCAAAAAACATCTCGTTATGCAAGAACACCACATCACGCACAGTTTCCCTAACCTAAAAGAACAAGTAATAATAATTATTCTCTACAAAATACTAAAGAAGATTCTCAAAACCATCATAAGAAATATTTAGACAGTCAAATGACCAAATTAGCTATACAACAATGTAAAGAACACTTCCAGTGAGAAACAAACTACCATTCAACCAATATACTGAGCCTACAAATCAACAAATGCTGTGGACGTTCCTTATAGCTCATCAGCAAAGTTCACTAGCATGTTAATTTAAGAATGCTTTTGTGAAAAGGTGCTAGATTATGAATTCTGCTCTTATAGCGAACGAATGCATTGACTTAGGAATACGTCGATATTCAAAAGGCGTATGATCACGTGAACTGGGGGTTTCTTTTGTATATGCTCAGGCGATGTGGCTTTGGGGATAAGTGGTGTAAGTGAATTCAGTTTTGTATCTCTACAGTTTCATTCTCAGTTTTGATCAACGGCACCCTTGAGAATTATATCCGGAGTAGCAGAGATTTGAGGCAAGAGGATCCGTTGTCTCCATTACTGTTTGTTATAGTAATGGAGGCCTTCAGTAAGATGATTGAGAAAGCTATGAGGAAGGGTCTGTTAAGAGGCTTTATGGTTGTTCATCTAAAGGTTTCCCATTTGTTATTTGCAGATGATACATTGATTTTCTGTGATGCGAATGATGAACAATTTAGGAACTTGCGCTGTTTGCTTCTGTACTTTGAAGCGGTATCTGTATTAAAGATAAATTTGCAAAAATCTAAGGCTATTCTAGTAGGAGGGGTCGCTAACATGGAAGAGTTGGCTCCTATATTAGATTGTAGAGTTGCGCAGTTGCCTATATCATATCTTGGGCATCCTTTAGGTGCATGGTTTAAAAGTACACGTATTTGGAATGGTATTATATAAAGGGTGTAGAGAAGATTAGTGGGGTGGAAGCGTATGTACCTTTCAAAAGGAGGCCGTCTTCCTCTCATTAAATCTACTCTCTCTAATCTCCCTACCTATTTTTTGTCATTGTTTCCTATTTCTATTGCAACGATAAATAGATTAAAGAGGATCCAAAGGGAATTTCTTTGGGCAAGGTGGGGGGAGAAGTGAAAATTTCATTTGGTTAATTGAGATAATGTTTGTTCTTCTATTACGGTAGAGGGGTCTTGGATTGAGGAGCCTTCTATTGTTTAACAAAGCCTTATTGGGCAAGTGGCTGTGGAGATTTAGAGTAGAGTGGGAGAGTTTTTGGAGAGAAATCATATGGTGAAGTATGGTGTTATGGAGAGGGTTGGTGTTCGGTTGAGGGTCATGGCTCAAGGGATGAGTTTGTGGAGGTATGTCAGGAAAGGGTGGGGAAATTTTCAAGATAGATTGACTTTTGTGGTGGGAAATGATAAGAATGTCAGATTCTGAGATGATTGTTGGTGTGGAGATCAACCACTAAAGGCGAGATTTCCTTCTCTGCATCATATAGCTTTAGGGTGGTGAATGAGGTATTAGCTATACATAATGGGAGTTTTAGCTGGAACATCGGAGGGGTTTATAGAATTGGGAATTAGATAATCATGCGCTTTTTTTTACCTCCGGTAGGAGAGGATTAGTGTAGCAGGTGAATGGTGGCACGAAATGGTATTTTCCCCGTTCGCACTTATTTTAGATCCTTATTAGAACCTGTAAAGAGTTCATTCCCTTGGAAGAGAGTATGGCAGTGTAAATTGCCTCAATGGGTAGCATTTTTACTGTGGACGATTGTGAGGAATCAGGTGTTAACGATGAATAATCTTAGAAGAAAATGATGTTATGTTACCCAGTGATATTATATGTGTAAGAGGGATGGAGAGACAAATGACCACTTGTTCATTCACTGTAATGATGTTTGTTGGTTATGGAACAATATTCTGACTTCTTAATTCATAGAATTGGGTGTTGCCAAGGTGTATAGAGGACGCGATGTAGGCATGGAGGAAAAAACTTCGAGATAAGAATAGCAAACTTGTTTGGGATCTTATTCGAGGATGCATTGTATAGTGTGTGTGTGTGTGGAGAGAGAAAGGAACAACAGCTGTTTTGAAGATCAAACACAGAAGACAGAGCAGTTTAGAGAATTATTTTATCTCACTTTGTATACTTAATTTAATGCTACGGCTACCAATCCGATAGAAGGGTTGTCTAATTTCATGTTGTTTCTATCTTGTTTGAATTGATAAGGCACTTCTTGTGTATTATATTATTATTTAATTTATAAAATTACTTGATTGCCTATCAAAAAAAGAAATAGAAAAAAAGAAGAGGAACTAATTTGTCTATTATATAATCTATGCATGGCTATATAGGGCAAGAAGTCCACAGCTTCATTATTATTCTTTTGAGACATTTAGAAGAAACTGGGTTTTTTAATTATCCAGACAAGAAAAATAAAGAAGGCTTCATTTGGATGCCCTTAAGCCAATTATACAAGAAAAGAAAATTATTTCTATAATATTATTACGCAAAACCTCGAAAGAGGTCATTCCAGTATTATTTTAAGTGAATGGGGGCAAGGAGAATCACACAAAACAGAACAAGTATTAATCAGAGTCTGCGTGTAGATGACTGAAAAATGAAAGTGATAAGATACCTGAAATTCTTTGATGAGGTTCATACTTTTCATGTCTAGAATGGCCATATGACCCTTTCGTCCAGCTACGGTCATATACCGACCACTAGGGGTGAAATCGAGGGAGTATGGACCGAGATCTGGAAAAAAAAAAAGGTATTAACTGATTGGGGAAAAAAGTTGAACTAAGCCCCCGTTTGACCCCCATTAATTTTCAGTCTATTATATTTCATTTTTTACTCTCCCATTTTCAACCACACAATTTTTCATAAAATAATATTACACGTAAATCGAAAACTTTTACTTCTTTTTCAACCACTCATTTTTCAAAAAAACACTATTCCACCCATTTTCATTACTACAAAATGGGGGCCAAATGGTGGCTAAAATTGTAAAATGTACTCAATAGAATAGCATATGAATCTTACAACTGCAGATTGGTCAGAACGTAATTT